AGAGCATAGAAAGTAGAGTCTCCTGTTGGCCACAATTTCGTGTTATGTCAGAGCTTTTGCTTATTTTTAATACGGGGGGGCCTTGACTTACGAGTGTCCCGACTAACGAGTTTTTTGAGATACCAGCTGTCTCTCCACCGATTTTTTGCATTGAGTCGATAGAGTAATTTGAGTTAATGAGCTCCTTAACGAGCTCGGTCTCAGAACTAATTAAACTCATAAGTCAAGGCCCCACTGTATCTCACCCAAGAGGTGGGAGTGGGCTTGTGTGTCTTCTAGAGCAGTGGTTTTCAACCTTGGCTGCACATTAGAATCACCTGGGAATCTTTTTTAAAATCCTGATTTCTGGGCCTCATCCTCCGGGAATTCTGTTTCTCTGTTATGGGGTGGGGCCACAACATTAGTAACAAAGAAACAGAATTTCCAGAGGATGAGGCCCAGAAATCAGGATTTTAAAAAGATTCCCAGGTGATTCTAATGTGCAGCCAAGGTTGAGAACCACTGCTCTAAAAAGATAAGCATTTTCACTATATAGAGTCAGTAATTAGTTAACTTGTGAAGTCTTGTATTTTTCTTAAGCACACTTTAAAAGTTATTTTGGAAGCAACTTTCAGAAATCAAAGTATTACACAAAGACTGCTTAATTGTAAAAGAATACTTCAGGGTTAAGTAGCAAAAAAGGTTTTGATGTTTCTGACCTTATCTAAATTGTTACCAGTATCAATGTAACCCTTCCTTACTTGAACATCCTTTAATCTGTACTTCCAGTTAAGTAAATCAGTTTATTGATCACTGAAGAGAATTTCAAAGTTGGTCTGCTGTTTTTTTCTTGAAAACTAAGGTTCAAATACCTACAAAGTGTTGACCAAAGTCCAGAAAAGAAGCGATTGGTATGTCAAAAATATTTGCCTTTTAGTTTCACATCATTGAAGAACTCAACACCAAAGCCAAGATTTCCCTCCCTCTACAAAGGAACTAAACCAGGCAAAGTCTTAAAAAAGAAAATCTATTTAAACCTCCTGAAGTTACACAAGTAAAAACTATTATCATCATTTTAAACAAGATTAAGACCTGGCCAACATGGCTCAGTGGGTGAGCGTAGACCTATGAACCAGGAGGTCAAGGTTCGATTCCCGGTCAGGGCACATGCCCAGTTTGCAGGCTCCATGCCCAGTGTGAGGGGTGCAGGAGGCAGCCGATCAATCATTCTCTCTCATCACTGAAATTTCTCTCTCTCTCTCTCTCCCTCTCCCTTCCTCTCTGAAATCAATAAAAACATATTTATTTTAAGAAAAAAAAAACTGGTTCGACTTTTACTTATTTCCTGTTAGGTTTTTCCCCTCCTATCTACTGGATAGATAAATGTATGTAATTTACAAGCTACAGTCCTCCAATAATGGCAACTCTTTCACCTCCTATCAGTGTCATGTAGTATTATCTCTAAACTAGAGGCTCGGTGCACAAAATTCATGCACTTTGGGTGGGGGTGTCCCTCAGCCCAGCCTGCGCCCTCTCCCAGTCCAGGAGTCCTTGGGGGATGTCCGACTGACAGCTCCCCCTGTGGGAGTGCACTGACCATCAGGGAGCAGCTCCTGCATTGAGCATCTGCCCCCTGGTGGTCAGTGCACGTCATAGCAACCGGTTGTTCCGCTGTTCCGTCGATTTGCATATTTGCCTTTTATTATAAAGGATGCATATTTGCCTTTTATTATAAAGGATTGATGACTTAGGGCAGCGGTTCTCAACCTGTGGGTCGCCAACCTGTGGGTTGCGACCCTTTGGGGGTCGAACGACCCTTTCACAGGGGTCGCCTAAGACCATCAGCAAGCACATATATAATTACATATTGTTTTTGTGATTAATCACTATGCTTTAATTATGTTCAATTTGTAACAATGAAAATACATCCTGCATATCAGATATTTACATTACAATTCATAACAGTAGCAAAATTACAGTTATGAAGTAGCAACGAAAATAATTTTATGGTTGGGGGTCACCACAACATGAGGAACTGTATTAAAGGGTCACGGCATTAAGAAGGTTGAGAACCACTGACTGAGGGTGAAGATCCAAAGCCTATGCTCTAAACTGGCATATCCCATAGCCCAGTGGTCGGCAAACTGAGGCTCGCGAGCCACATACGGCTCTTTGGCCCCTTGAGTGTGGCTCTTCCACAAAATACCACGTGCGGGCACGCACGTACAGTGCGATTGAAACTTCGTGGCCCATGCACAGAAGTCGGTATTTTGTGGAAGAGCCACACTCAAGGGGCCAAAGAGCTGCATCCCGAGCTGCAGTTTGCCGACCACTGCCATAGCCTCACAAAATCAAATAGGCCGACTCTAATTAAACATGGTAATGGCCTGTTTAAGCAGATAGGCCTGCCAAAACAAAGAGTAACTAGGTCTCCAATCCACCACTTCTAGCTGTATGATCTCATTCAAGTAACCTCATTTTTTTAGTCTCAGTTTCCTCATCTGAGAAAAACCAAAAACATCTACCTTGAAGTTAATATAAAACTAATGAGATAACTTACAAGGCCCTAGCACAGCACCTGGCATACAGTATGTGCTCAATAAACTTTATCACATGAAATTCAAACTTGATCATGCCACTTCCCTGCTTTTTTTATAATCTTTTAAAGATTCTTCTATGTCTTTAAGACAAAAATTCAAATACTGACACAAGATGCACAAGGTTTTCCTTTAAGATTTGACTTCTCTTTCTCCCCTTCTCCTTTGAGTCAGAAGCACACTCTCTCCTTTCAATTTGTAAACAACTCTGTTCAGACACCTCTCAAATTTACTATTCACATCTTAACCATACTAAGGTCACAATTTCTTTACAGATACATGTTTTATTCATTATTATACACCTATTTTAGATGATACCTAGCAAAAAGTAAACCTTAATATTTTTTTATTGAAACCAATTACTTACTTTATTGTAGGAATAATATTTGGCTGGGGCTTTAATAACCGTAAACGATACCACATACATCTTCCATATACTTTTCTGATATTCTTTAATCGAATTTGCTCTGTCAAAAAAAAAAATAAGGGGATAAGTTAAACCATTTTTCACAGTAAAGGCAAAACCAGAGTTAATACCATACTAACCTTCATTACCATGCTAATACTTTATTGGCACAAGAAAATACTGCCTACTTAAATAACATTTAGGATAATTTCACAAGATAGGTTAAATTTTCTGCCACTTAGAACAAATGATCTATTTGGGAAATTTTATTCAACTACCAGGGAATCATTTTCCATGTGAGACTTAAATACTTCTAATTGAAATATGTAAAAACTAACTTGAATCCAAAATACTTAGTCACATAATCAGTATTTTCTGAGATATTCTCTCCTCCTTTCCCTTCTACTATAGAAAGAATAAAAAGTATAAAGTAGTTGAAGTATGTGGTTTATTAAGGAAGCTAGGCAGAAATTATATTCTTCAAACATGAAAATAATTATATTAAATTAGAAAAGTCACCCAAATCCATAAGATGTTAAAATGAGTCCATATAAGTTATGACAAAAGGCATTATTTTAGTCCCCAGGAAAAAACTGAAAAGAAATTAAACCAAGGCCAAAATATCATGTAGAGTTTTACTATAATGAAACTATAATCACTTGGTTTGGATAATGCTCCCAACTTAAAAAAAAAATGTTTTAAGTTTTAAAATAAAATACCCTTTCACAAAGATGGCATGCAGAAAGCAAAGAAAGAAGCCAAGGCCGAGAAGGCAGGTGCTATAAGGCATCCACAGCCACACACAAAAAATTATCCACATGTTATTCACCTTCTGGTAGCCCAAGACATTCCAAAAGCAGCTCAAGTATCCTCAAAAGAGCAACAAGCTTGACCACTATGCCATCATTGTGTTCCCCCTTAGTACTGAAGTCAACCATGAAAACAGAAGACAAAAACACACTTGGGTTCATTGCCAATGTCAAGGCTAACAAGCACCAGACCAAACAGACTGTGAAGAAACTCTATGACAGCCCTGGCTGGGTGGCTCATAAAGTTAGTTGGAGCACCATCTCATACATCAAAATGTTGCAGGTTCGATTGCCGATCAGGGCACATACAGGAGGCAACCGATTTATGTTTCTCTCTCTCTCTCCCTTCCTCTCTCTCTAAAATCAATAAAAACATATCCTCAAGTGAGGACTAAAAAAAAAAAAAGCTCTATGACAATGACACAGCCAAGGTTACACACTACTCAGGCCTATTGGAGAGAAGGCATATGTTCAACTGGGTCCTAACTATTTAGGATGCTTTGGATGTTGCCAATAAAACCAAAGTCATCTAAACTGAGTCCAGCTGGCTAATGCTATTAGGAAACTACAAAACCACAGTCCTTAAATGAGATGTCAAATAAGTAAAAGAACTTTATAGATAACAGAATGCTTCAAAGCCACCATGTTAAGAAGTCCAACCGCCGTAACCGGTTTGGCTCAGTGGATAGAGCATCGGCCTGCGGACTCAAGGGTCCCGGGTTCGATTCCGGTGAAGGGCATGTGCCTTGGTTGTGGGCACATCCCCAGTGGGGGGTGTGCAGGAGGCAACTGATCGATGTTACTCTCTCATCGATGTTTCTAACTCTCTATCCCTCTTCCTTCCTCTCTGTAAAAAGTCAATAAAATATATAAAAATAAATAAAATGAAATAATAAAATACCTAAAAATAAAATTTTAAAAAAAAAGGAGTCCAACTATCCTGTTAGCACCATGCTTTGAGAAAAGCATTCACAAGGCAGCTATATGGCAGGAGCTACCAGAACCAGATATGGTAAAGGAGGATCCATGTAGTTGAAGGGGAGGTGGCAGAAAGGGAAATATGCAGGAAGACTGACTCAAATAATACAGGAGTGAGCAAAAGTGGGTATACAGTTGTTAGTATACAAAACACAGTTTATTCTTGTTATATTATTACTGTTAAACCTACTTTTGCCCACCCCCTCTAGAGGTAACTGGAATCAG